ACCTCACCATAAACAGTAATAGATGTATATCCATCAGCTAAAAACACGTGTCGTTGAATTCGATTAATAATTCTGCTGTTTCGAATCGAATTCAATGCATTCTTTGAGATAAAAGTTCGATTAGCACCAGTATCAATCATTAATTTCATTTGTTGATCATAAACATAAGCATTAAGATAAATTAAAGGAAAAGAAATATATTGTGATGGGTTTTCATGTCGATTCTTGGAAGCAACACCATCAATCGATGCTTCCATTAATGGAAATGGGAACGGGCGCAATCCCGTGAATAATGTCCGGGAGTCCCACAAGTATAACAAACACCTGATGATCTTTTTGACGTCGTATTTCTTGATGAACTAGAATATGAAACATTATTATTACGAGAATTATTCATACGACCTGATGTAGAAGTTTGTAATTGTGGTTGATGAACATTAGTGCGACGATTATCAATATCTTGTGAAGGATTAATTGTCGATGTTGTTGGTTGACGATCATAACTTGTATTCTGATGATTATCATATTGATTCAAATCATAATCTGTATTGGTTAATGATAATGTATCTTCTAGTTTCCTAGCATAAGATAAAAATGTTTCAGGAGATTGTGGATCGTATAATGCAATATGTAATTTTAATGATTGTTTAACACCTGCCATTAAATATTGTAATTTCATAGAATCAGTCATTGATGTATCAACTCTTTTACATAATTCGATAACTTTATCATAATATTGTGTAATAGATTGATTAATCGCTTGTTTATATGTTCGCAGTTGTTCAAATGTTAATTCTTTCATTTTGGTTGACCCGAAAGCTTGTTTAATTGCTTCAACAAAATGTGACCAAGTCGTAATTTTTGCTGATGATTGATTCCACCAACGATACGCATCTTCTTGTAAATGAATTGATATATATTGTAATTTAAGTTCATCAGGCCAATTAGCCATTGTGAATCGTTGTTCTAATTTTTCTAACCATTCAATAACATCATCCTTTGCACCACGAAAATATGTTGGAGATTTGATGATCTCTCTTGCCATGGTAATAGAAAGAGCTGATGATAATGATGAATTAATTTCAATGGACGAAGACTTAGTCGAAGGAAATTGTTCTACTTGTGTCATGTTATTAACAGACGATAAATGACGATCTTTTGAAAGCATAGTATTAATTTTCAATCGACCAAAAATATGTTGCTTCAACTTCTTGCAAAAATAACGCCAATCATTCTTGATTTCTTGTTT